CTGCCTACATTTCCAGCCTTTTCTCATACCTCTTCCCCAAATGCATCCAATACCCCTCTCACACAGCCCTATTACCACATCCCCACCCCTTTCACATGGCCCTATACCACGTCCACACCCCCTTCACACGGCCCTATTACCACTGCCCTTTGCACGTGAGGTTTTCTCTCTCTGCATTTCTTTCCACCCTTCCATCTCCCCCAGGTGTTTGTCTGCCTGTGAAACTCCTAATTGTCCTACAACATTCAACCCAGCTGTTACTCTTCCCCGACATCCTGCCTGACTGAGGCAGAATTAAGGGGTCCCTCTGCTGTGCTCCCGCAGCGAAGTGTAACCTCAGTGTTTGTCAGCCAACTTCCCACTAGACTGAGGAGTCCTTCAGGGTAGGGACAAGTTGAATTCTTGTTTGTGTCCCGGGTGTCTAGCTCAATGGTACCATCTCTCACTGGCCACATCAATTTGTCCTTGTCAGATTGACCTCATCCTTTCTTTCCTCCTTCCCTGGTGCCCCATTTCCTTCACCTGGTGGCCATGGCGCAGCTATTTGGCTGTAGAGCCCACAGGGAATTTAATGGTGCTTTCCCTCTAGGGTGCTCAGCTGGAGGCAGGCAAAGGAGGCCTCTCAGCAGGCAGTGAGTGGGCCTTACTGGAGGAGTGGCTGCCTTGTACAACCCAAGGGCCTCCTGCAAATCAGACTAGATCGCCTTCACTTCCTGTGCTCAGGGAGATTAGATATTGCCTCATCAACGCTGATTTTTTTTTTTTTTCTTAATATTTGAAACTGCCAAGTACCAGTTGCCATCCTAGTGGGTGGCTTTCAGAAATCCCCTCTTTTCTGGTGTTTGATTTCTTGTGAGTTTCAAGAAACCAGTCTAGTTGGAAAGAACCTGCACTTAGAAGTTCTTTGAACTGTTTGTGAAGCCCTGGCAGGAAGTGACTTGGGATCTGGGTTAGACAGTCTTGCCTCACTCCCAGGAGAGGTGGGAGTAATGAAATACAGGTGCATCTGGGGGTGGGTGTGGCTTTAGAGTGTTCCCGTGGCCAGTGCTCCATGTGTGGCCATTTTCACGTATCTCGTCTGATCTGCAATCAGAGAATGCCTGTTTAAGCTGCATTGCATCCATAACACATTGATCGTCACCTGTTCTCTGGGTTTGATAGGCTTTCTCATCAAGGGGTTGGTTCTCAGCCTGATGTTTGTAATCCTGAAGTAGACTAAGAACAATCCAGGGAAACTCTGTAAGAATTAAATGAGTCTTACATAACCCCCCTAATAAAACAACTGTTCTGAGAATATGTTTGGAGAGGGGCTTGGCGACAGGCAAGGGCCACGTATCTCCCCACTGTTGCATGGGAGGTATAGATCTGTGACTGCAGTTGACTGGGAAGTCAGACACTGGCCTTCTGATTCTGCTTATGTATTTTAGGAGAAGGGGGTGCCCATTATGGATCAGGCAGCGTGCATAGTGCATGAAGTATGCTATTTCATGTCATCTTCATGGTGCCTCAGCATTGTTTGTTAAACTGTGCTATGTGCCAGGTAGCCCTGGAGGTGCAGTGGTTAACAGCTTGGCTGCTAACCAAGGGGTCAGCAGTTCAGATCCACCAGCTGCTCCTTGGAAACCCTATGGGGCAGTTCTACTCTGTCCTGTGAGGTCGCTATGAGTTGGAATTGACTTGACGACAACGGGTTTGGTTTTTTGGTTTTATGTGCCAGGTACTTTTGGATTGTCTCCTTTAATCCATGTAACAGCTCTTTGAGGTGTTGTTGTGGGCTGTTGATTCATACTCATAGCGACCCTACAGGACAGAGTAGAACTGCCCCATAGGGTTTTCTACGCTGTGATCTTTACGGGAGCAGATCACCAGGTCTTTTCTCCTGCAGAGAGGCTGGTGGGTTCAAACTGCCAACCTTTCAGTTAGCAGCCGAGTGCTTAACTGTTGTACCACGAGGGCTACTTATCTTTGAGGTAGGTTCTATTTTATAGTCACTATTTTTCAAAAGCTATAACTGAGGCACATAGAGATCAAGTAACTTCTGCAGTGTCTCACAGTCTGTGAGTAAGTGCCAGAGCTGGAATCTGAGGCTAGGCAGCCCAACTGCAGAGCTTCTTAACCACTTCACTGTACCTTTATAAAGTAGGTACTGATATCCCCCCTCTACAGATCAGTCAGCTGTAATCACTGAACTCAAACTGGTCCCGCAAGCAGTAAGAGATGGAGCTGAGGTATCCACACAGGCCTATCTGCCCTAAAGTGTGGGACATTCGCTTACCCTACAGTGCTTAGATAGCTGATAAACTTCTTTAAAAGTCAAATAGTTCTACAAGGCTTATTTTAAAAAAGAGAAAAAATAAAAGAAACAAAAGGAAAAAGTAATCTCTCTTCCCTGTCTCCATTCCTGATTTCTGTTTCCTAAACCCAAAAACCAAACCCACTGCGGTCGAGTCGATTCCAACTCATAGCGACCCTATAGGACAGAGCAGAACTGTCCCATAGGGTTTCCAAGGAGTGTCTGGTGGATTTGAACTGCTGACCCTTTGGTTAGCAGCCGAGTTCTTAATCACTTCACCACAGGGCTCCCTCTGTTCCCTAGAGACAACCATTTTCAACTTTTTGAGACTTTTCTCCTTTTACCTTCGTATGTCTAAATAACATGCTTGTACTATTCTAGATTTTTCAGTTTTAGAGGTTTTCTACTTACTACCACTGAAGATGACGATTTCATGCTCTTACGACCCGTCCCCCTCATTTCCTCTCCCCACCAAACCTCTTGCCGTCGAGTCGATTCCGACTCATAGTGACCCTAGAGGACAGCGTAGAACTGCCCCATAGGGCTTCCAAGAAGTGTGTGGTGGATTCCAACTGCCGACCTTTTGGTGAGCAGCTGTAACTCTCAACCACTGCACCAGGGCTCCTACCCTCCCCCAACCTGCCCAGTATAGTTAGAGTTTGGGGCTAGTTCGGTATTCTCTATGTACATTATTATGACTATGAAAATATTCACAGCTGAGCCCTGTAATATAGTTACATTTCCTTTGTATTTAGCTTTTTGATTCCCCCAGAGTTTAATGTACATGTGTCATTTTAAGAAACTTACTTGATCATTCTTAAACTCTGCGATAGAGTATTAATATCTTCTATGTTCAAGCATATCAGGTGAACTTTAATTTTTATCTTGTTTTTTCTTGGACATATTTGTCCTGGATCTCTCTGTCTTCCTGCTCCAATCTGGACTGATAACTGAGGCTACATAGCTGTTATCCTGGGAGATTAGCTGTCTGCCTGTCTCTCTGTCCATCCGTCTATCTGAATTTGTAGAGCACTGTTGATCTTTTGGAAGAGTGCGGGGTGGTGGGAACTTGAGTCACACTGCATTTAGCTCTTTTCATAAGTGGGAGCTATGATTGAGCACTTGGACTTTGAATCATACTTCCTGAGTCTGCCACTTAATAGTTATGCAATATGGAGCTGTCCACTTATTATTGCTAAGCCTCTATTTCCTCATTTGTAAAATAGGAATAATAGTGCTACCTTGTAGGGTCGTTATAAAGATTAAGTACCATAAAGTTTTAAAGAACACATCATAAATGCTTAGTAAACATTAAATATTTTTATAATTATGCTCTAGAACTTCCCGGAGGTGGTAATACTTTTACTATAGGGCCCTTATTCTCTAGTATCTTTGTGTCCCTGGACCATGTTGCGATGTTGATAAGAGCTGTGTACAAGGGATTTTTCTGAATTAGTGATTTATAAATCTCACCTGAGCTAATCTTGGTCACTAAGATACCCCTGTCCATTCTTCTATTTACCCCTAGGTCACCCTCTAGGGACTGCTGAAGCCCATTAGCCAGCTGAGGCCAACTGACCAACACTATTATTAGTATTAAAAAAAAAAAAAAAAAGTAAAATGAATACCATCCATATGTCCCAATTCTTGTTTCTGCTTTTTATTTTTTTTCTTTATGGTTGCATGATGCCAAGATGGGTCCAGGAAGAATCTGTTAGAATGTTTATTTAAAACATTTCAGCTCAGTGTGATACTGTGGTGGTTTAAGTCATACCCTAGGAGCAATCAGTAGCCCCATCAGAAATTCACATTCCAGGGATGGTCAGCAATCCAGTTAGGAAGCCCACACGTTCGAGGTGACTATGAGAAGCCTGCCTGTCGTCCCCAGCTCAGTCAATACAGGAGGCTTTGCTAAATGGCTTATTAAATGTCAAATATGTTTCCTATGGTGAAACGAGCAGCTTTTAATCATCTTAATGTATGAGAAACAGGTTTTCATTTGTAAAGTCAGTACTAGATATTAAATTGACTAAAAATGAGTCACTGTCCATTCTTAAAAGAAGTGTAAGGATGCAGCAAACCCTGTACCCTGCACTTCTAGGGATAGTCCTCAAGCCTTAATGGGTAAACAGACCTGTGTCCGCTCATTAGCAGAGGATTCTGGGTCAACCGATGCTGGTTGCGAGTGTGACAAAAGTTTGCCCCCAGAGCACAGTCTGCCCCAAGTGACCCTTTCATGCAGGTGTCCTCAGATCACCTAACAGGACAGAAAGCTGGGACTTCTTTAAGCTTAGAAAGCAGGCTGCATAAACTATTATGCTATTGCTTGCCAGTAACTGTTTAATAAATGATTCTAGGTGAGGCATGGATTACACCTCAACATAAAGACAACAGAAAACCTCACAATTGGACCAATAAGCAACATCATGATATACGGAGAAAATACAAGGAAGACCAAAGAATAATGCATTTCAATGGTGTTGGCGAAGACTATCGAATATACCATGGACTGCCAGAAGAACGAACAAATGTATCTTGGAAGAATTACAGCCAGAATGCTCCTTAGAAGCGAGGATGGCGGGGCTTCATCTCACATACTTTGGACACGCTATCAGGAGGGATCAGTCCCTGGAGAAGGACATCATCAAGTAGAGGGTCAGCGAAAAAGCGGAAGCCCCTCAACAAGATGGACTGACACAGTGGCTGCAACAGTGGGCTCCAATAGAGCAACGATTGTGAGGATGGCGCAGGACCGGGCAGTGTTTCGTTGTGTTACACTAGGGTCGCTGTGTCAGAACCTACTCAGTGGCACTTAACAACAGGTGAGGCAAAACCGAGGTGAGCTTCACTTTCACATTAAGCGGGGAGTAAGTTGTGGGGGAGTAGCTAACACTTGCCAGCTTCTGTTCGTGGATACAAGTATCTGACTAGTGAAGAGTCTGAGTGGTAAATGACTAAACTGGCTGTAAGTTTGAAAAATAAAAATTTCTGGTACTTCTGAGTTATTTCCAAATAATATCAATCATCAACACCCAATTATGAAAGCAAGTTTATTTGATTATTCCACACAAACAATGAGGCTCATGCGTACAACTAAGAGGTAAGACGATCCAGAAAGGCAGGGACAATTCATGTGAGCTACACAGACATCTAGCCAGACGGGAACAGCAGCTGCATTCAGCTTACTTAACACTGTCCAGTGACGTGGCACCGTTTAGCTCAAAGACAGCCTAAGTGCTGTGTAAGGTAATTGCGTGGATCTTTGCTGAAATGCAGCGATAGTTGAGAAATTATAGCAAGCTTGATGGTAATCTTATGGTCAACCGACTTTAAGTATAAAATTATGTCAGAAAAGTTATTTCAGAAAAAAATAGGGCATTTGGGAAGGATGTGACCTCGTACAATTCTTTTAAAAAACCCTAAGGAAATAGTTACCATTACTGAGCTGTGTTTCCTTCCACCATCCACACTATTTTTTAATACTAGCACCATGACGAAGTCTCAGCTTTGGGAAATCTAACAGGTGATTCTGTAACACACACGCAGTTTTATTTATACAAAAAATTTATTTTTCAACTACAGCTCTTTTATTTGTTGGTCTGCTCAGTCTGTCACGGCCTAAACTACAGACATGGAGGAACAATGAGAACCGTTAATGCCACCGAACTCCAAGCACCAGGGTCTTTAACAGTTACTTCTATTTTCTACCATTTCCAATGATCATTCTAAGTTATTGTACTCATTTTAGGTTGAGTTGTCGAGACGTTTTACTGCGTTAACGAATCTAAGTTAACGTGAAGATACTTGTAAATCCCACAGTAAGCACTGGTCTAATAGTGACGCAGTTACACTTCTGAAGAATATAAAGAACCCTGGGGAGAAATCCAGTGTCCCAGAGTACCCCCATCAGCTCGTTTTACTAGCTGAGAGCCACAGTATGTTTTCAGAAATACACTGCAGAAACATCACACTGGAAGACATTCCAAATAGTTCATTATTATTCAGTCCTGGAAAGCTGTGGTTCCTAACCTTTCATAGGGTCATGAACCACTTTGAGAAGCTGATGAAAGGTATATATACACCTTCCCCCCAGAAAAATGCATACACTCAAAAACATTATCATCATGTACAACTGCAAAGGACCCCCTAAGGCTCCGTTATCCCCAGGTCAGGAACTCCTATTTCAAAACTGTGGGATGCTGCAGAAAGTAAAGTTTAGCCCATTTCGGCGTCGCCCATCTTCACTTCATTGTCGTCACTATAGTAAGTTAAATTGCTACAGTAAGACAAAGTTACTCTTTATTTTAAGCACCAACACAGTCTTAAAATTCATTCTTCTGTCCCAGTTTTACAAGGTTTTAAGCTATGTATCCTCTATTTCAAATTGGTTAAGCCCTTAAGCAGATTAACCGTTTTCCCTTGATGTATATTATTCCTCATAGCGAGTCACTGAAAAATGAGCAGATTAAAATTTAACATGCTTGTGAAAATGAACATGTATCTAGACTTTGAGGAACGGGTAATGTGACTTTATAAAATATATTTCTAGGTACACTTGAATACAAACACATGTACTTTACACCTCAGCACGTAACATGCAATCCCAAACCACACCTTCTTCTTTTACTTACTGGGAGCCGGTACAGTGAAGTCTCCATACTGTGGTAACAAAACATAATGAATGTTTTCTACCTTATTGTCCAGGACAGGAAACACTTCATTTCTGACCAACCCACCATCTCAAAGGCATTTAATCAACTGCTCAGTTAACAAATAGGTTGCAGAATGTTATCTTGGAGGATTCTAACGTTGAACCGTCGATTGTCTTAACCCATGCTGAGTGGACGCGTACACCCAGAGAAATGTCTGTCCTGCAGTACAAAGTATCACTGCTTTCTTCTTATTAAAGAAAGGTACCACTGGTTACTTCATATAACAGGTAAACCTGGATCTATAGAAAATTCTTAGAGATTCTGAAGACTGCTTTAAAAGCAGAGGGTAATAGCTAAGAGATTAAATACAGAAAGGCAAACACTTCAAATATACAGAATTTAATCAAATCCCTTACTACAGAACTTTTCAAAGTTTGAAGTCAGGTGACATTTATTCAGTCCTTTCATAATCATTCATTTTTGCTTGAGTAGAGTATCTGGAGAACAAATCCCAAAATATTTTAATAAAGGAAAAGCTAAGAGAAGAGCTTTGCCAAGGTAGCTACAACCTGGTCATAGGATTTCATTTTTGCCTTTTGTTATGTAAAAAGTGAATAATGGAACAACCATTATTTCTCCTTGCTCTCTCCTTCCAAGAAGTTTTTTCATGTTATCTTTTGTACAAGTTAAACTCTAGAATTTCCATTTTAGAGACACAGGGGTCAGGGAAGAGGAAGATCCTGCTCTTTGACAATCAGGGTTCAAGGATTCCACCTTAACGGCAAGGGGCTTGCAAGAGGACATGGACTGCTACTACCCCACGGGCCAGATGGGTCCCGCGACTCCTATAAAATACACAGTCAGGACTTTTCCACCAATATTCAAATCTACCACTCTGTGTTTTCCCTACCGGGCCTGGCAAATGCTGAGTGAAAGCTGAAGAAGGTAATATCTACTGGCATTCTGGGTTGTGCAATCCGTACATTCCCATTTTAAGAATCATTCAAGCATAATCCGTATTTTAAAAATTAGACTAAAGAGAGACAACAAAGGTTTTAAAGTTTTCTCTTTGAAAAGATGGGATCTTACAGTACATACAAAAATACTCTGAAAATACATACGACTTCATTTACAAAACGGAATCAAACATTACAAGAATTACATGGTTATGGATTTTAATAAACTGAGCATGCGGTCATGAAACTTAAAAAATATTAAGAAATGCCTTGAAAAAAGCCGTGTAAAAAAAGACAAGTCAGACGGTTAAATAAACGTCACACAGGTCCTGAGCCAGTTAATGGTGGCTGACAATGGCATTCAGAAACGCCCCCCGTTCCAGCACAGCCCCCCGCTTCTCTCTGCACGCCTCGTCTGCGAGGGGACGGTGTGAAGCTGTGGGGAAGGTGATGGTGAGGGGTTATCATGCCGGGTTATTTTATACTCAGAAATACAAGTGTCTCACACCTGATGCTGTCTTATTTTTGATGCTGGAACGAGCTGCTTCTCAGTGAAGAACACCAGTCAACTAGCAAGAATGGTGTGAGACAGGGCACGTAACCACCTCACGTTCACATGCAGACCTTCAGAGTCCTGGTCACATTTTGATTTTTAATAAAGATGCATTTCAGAGGCCTCCATGGGAGGCAAAGTATAAAGAATTCATGGTGCCCAACTCTTGTATGTAATCACTGGACTAATCTTCCCTGATAACTATGCGACATCTGGACAGAAAGGCACACACCCGAGAGTTTAAATATTCCATGTGCCAATCTGGAAAAAAATAATTTAAATCAACAGAATAGACAGTAAGTACATCTACATGACTGACGGAAGCAGGAAAGATACCTCACATTCACTTATCTCAGGTTCCACAAAGTGGCTTCAATGCTAAAGGAAATGGGTTAACAACTGGAAAATTACAAGAGAAATTTTTTTTGTTTTGTTTTGTTTTCAACTTTTTTAGCTCTATACAATGATTACAACGTAAGACTTAAAAGAAAAGAAAAGAAAAAGGAGTTCAGGACTTCTTTTATCAGTGTCCAAGTGGCCAAGAACTGGTTCCCAGAACAGAGAATAAGCACTGAAAGTTAAGGCAGTAAAACCTCCAAACGCAAAGCCAACCGCGGATGACAATCTGACGGCAGGTGATCCTGGGGGAAGTGTCCGTAGCAATCAGTGAGCGAATGCTACGGCATCTGCAGGTCAAAGTGTAAGGGTTCAAAACCAGGTCAAGGTCAGGAGGCCGATGACTGTAACTTTCACCAGGTTATGTGTGACGGCCACTTCTATTTAAAGAGAGTGGCTGCTTCTATGCCACTAAATGATTGCATATTCACGTAAGTGGGGAGGCACTGCTTTTACCGATTAAGGGTCAGTCGGATTGAATTTTTGATGACACGGATGTTATTTGCTGGAACTGGAGATGAAGAATCTGGCAGTTCTTTACTGGGTAGTCTCTAGTAGAAAAAAATAGAAAGAAGGAAAAACAGACATGTACAATGAAGATCCAACTACTAAATCGCTGTGGTCACAAAACTCTTTGAGTTTGTCTCCAAATACCTTAGCACCTAAACACTCAAGACTGTGCTGCATGGCATCTGTGTTCACAGGCACCTCTTACTTTTGGAACGTTTCTTTTTAAGTCAGAGGTGAAAGCAGAGGAACGAGGAAAGGCAGAGTATGAGTGTGTACAGGAGAAGGGGACTCATATTAACTCAGTCGCACTTGTGCACTGAGAAATAGATCAAGAAAACAGTCCTCCTTCAAGTCGGTAATTGTGAAAGAGAAATAGGAAGAGCAGAGTTACTAAACAGGAAACTCTTGTAAGGAGCGGGGTGGGAAGGGTGACAGATGTGTGTGTACAGGCGAGATTACATCCCTCAATGGGCTTCTGTAAAACATCCGTAGAGCAGAACGCTGTTAACTCAACCTGTGAGATATTTACGTTTTCAGAAAACTCCGCTTTTTTAGTGAGGCTAGGTAACTGTGACAATGGCGTAAGCAAGGCTCAGCCGTTATTGAAACTTTGCCATGCTCGTTTGGTTTACCCCTTTAACTTTTATCCTTGGATTATTTTAAAGCAAAATCTAACATTATGTCATTTCATTAAACATTAGAACTTTCTTTCTTCCATTAGCACTTGTAATTATATCCCCTTAGTTCTTGTAACTCACTCTTATGTTAAAAAAAAGGAATATTTTCTAGCAGCTCTTGAGGACACTTTCCATTCTGTGTCTGTCTTTTTTAGAATGGTCAGTACACCTGGGGAGGTTACCCTGGCAGGGAAACAGGTGGCTGCAATGAGAAGCAGTTTATGTTTTGATGAGTGAAAACAAGCCCAATGTTAGGCTCTTAACAAGCTTTTGCACCTGCAGATTAGAAGTGCACAATATTTCACCTGTAAGTAAGACTGTTTATTACCTTCTTGCGCGATGTGTCAATAGTCGGGATAGGCATAGACTCTCCTCTGATGGCATCCTAAGAGCAGAACAATTACACACAGTGAGCATTTCTTTCCTATATGCAAATACTGTGGCCAGAACTCAATTCCTATGTGAAATAAAACATAACCAAAACCTGACAGTAGATCTAATTTGACCTACTTTCTAAGAGTATGTTTCTAACACACGGCTCTTTAAAGTAAATATTTCGAAGCACACAACTAATATAGTTACCGCTGATTTTCTCTTTCTGTCTTCGGCAGCACGAGAGTCCTTAAATGTTGATTCAAGTCGAATAAACTACAATATAAACAGTAAAATGAGTTGTTATTATGCATTTACAAAAAATCTATATAAACTGGGAGGCTAATCAGTGATGAGGCTATCACCAATAAACTACTACAAACAGGGTTAGCAGGGAAGAGAATTTGAATCAGACTGAATTCAACTGGCACCCTTAATGTCTATAGTTTGGGTGATCTTTCTGGTTAAATCAATTCAGATTCTAACAAGTAAGATACGGTTTTACCACCACCTACTGGAGGCAGAGAAGATCAACATAACAAGAGAAAGTAAGTACATTACCCAGTTACCAGTTAAGATGTCTGGGTAAGTCAAGGAGAAACTTAGACCAATCATTCAAGTTTTCAAACACATTAGTAATTTGAATTTAGGATGAAAAATTAGTATTATTCCTTCAGGGTATGGGTAAATATTCTTTGTTTTGTTTTGTTTGTAAATATTCTTTTTAAACAGCCAGATCCTAATGGAACACTAAGATAGTTACCGAGAATTGTGAGTTTCTTTAGTTACTGTTTTAAGTTAACTTTTTAGAGATCAACTACTGAATCACCAAGGAAGCTGTGATACCTTTTCTATGTCTTTCAACCTCTTGGATGAGCCGTCTGTGGATGGGGAGTGGGATCTCTTGGGTAGAACATTCTTGGTTATATTCGCTATCCCATTGAGCTGCGGCTGCCCCTGGGCAGGGCTGTGGGGTGTGGTGACTCTGGGAATGACATTTCGTCCCACTACTGTAGGGATGGTGCACACGGCTGGGGGTGACACAGCTTTTACTGTGACGTCAACTTCTGAAAAGACAAAGAATGGAAGATTTTAGTAAATCAAATACAGAGTCGTAGAGCTGCACCCGTAACGCCAGGAACTTAGACACCTACTGGCACCGATGACTGGAATAGAGAGTCCTTGAGCTGCTGGGACACTGAGCGGCTTCCCCACGCCCACAGGGGCAGGCTCAGCACTGCTCCTGTTCAAAGTAGGAAATTGTTGTCATGAAGTGACTTAAGTACTACTTGGTAAAACGCTCTCAACACTTAACATTACCTCTTTAAAGCACTCTTATTTTAACATTTTGTTGAAGGAAAAGGGGAGAACAAGGCAGAGGATTCAGTGAGAAGTAAAATAAAAATATAACAGAAAATCTGTGCATGTCTGTGTACTATCTAGTTCCATGTGTTCATAAAGCCTAAACTGTCTCTCAAAGGATTATCCCAAACTGTCAAATATTTCTAAGCAATAAGCCAACTAGCAGCTGGTAGAACCTTCTAACAGTTAAAAAAAGGCGTTTTACAAAGATATAGAAGAGCTCACATTATCCACAAATAAACTGACAGAAGACGGTACGGCCGGTTTTGAGAAGCAGACCTTTCTGTTTCTCCCCCAGGACTGTCGGGCTTGGAAGGTTTGACTGAAGACACCGGGGAGGTGAAGGGCGTCCCGCTGTCTGTGTCTCTGGAGCTATCCAAGCAGCTGCCGTCCAGCGATGGTCTCTTGGACTGAAGTCCACCCAAACTCCGACTGACATCAGACAGGCTTTGCTGTAAGAAGAGAAAGCTTGTGGAGTTCAAGAAGCGAATGAGAATATGAAGATGCTATCAATTCTGAAGTACTTAGAAGCAAATTATCTTCTGTGATTAACCAAGGTCAGATTTTGGTCCTGGACTGAATTTTCTCTACCTGCCCACTTTCCTCTCAGTAGGTCTGGGAGCTGTAAGAACACAAAGTTGGTCCCAAGATCATTCACCTAAATGGAGCCACACTGGAGAGTTAAAAATGACAAACTGACCTTTTTCTTCTTCTGAAGAGTCTCTGACGGAAGGTAGTGATGAAGCTGTTTTTTCTTCACATGCGTCGCTTCGATTTTCATCCCCTCCTTCAACATGCTTATGTTGTTCGCCTGTCTGTACACTGTGAGAATGTCAGCACGTGAACGGAGCTGGGTTTTTATGCACACACACCCCGTACAGAACAGATACTTCTCAAACATGTCCACTCACAGTCCCATTCGAAAATCGTTTAGTTCTTCCATGTCTATTGACTCGATCTCTAAGACTTTCCCACAGACAGATTTCATTAACAAAATAAATGAAAAAACCTGTCTTCCAAATCTTTTCTGCTATTTTCCAAAAGGCAATCTTCTCATAATTACTTGTCCAAATTTAAGCTGATTCTTAGACCAAATTTCCAAAATGCAGTTCAAGCTCTGCCTCTCCCATGAAGCTTCTTCTAACTTCTGTAGCCCACACCCACCACAGACCAGCGGCCGTCAGAAACCATCTGGAAGTACACCCTTACTGTAGGGGTGGGGAAATGAGGCTCATCATCCCTGAACACCTTGCCAGGAGCCAAAATACACACACCTCTGAACTCCCATGCTTGTGCTTTTCACACCTCGTAAGAAAGTCAGTTTTGTTAACTATCACACACAACTGTTTAGTTGTGCTGAGTCAGCGCCCACGCACAGCGCTGCTCCGTGTAACACGGCCACACGCCGCCCAGTCCTGCACCACCTTCATGATCCTTGGTATGTGTGAGCCCACTGCTGTGGTGGTTCTGGAAGCCCATTTCATGGAGGGTTCCCCTCTTTTTGGGTGGCCCTCTACCAAACGGGATGTGCTTTCTAGTGAATCACACAAATTCCTTCATGCATTTTAGCTGTGGAGACCCAACCAGATTATAAACCCACTGAAGACAGAGAGAACAGGAGGCTGCTTTTGCGCAGTGACTATTGTGAACTTCACTCCCCATTTGTAACGAGGCATTTTAAGAATCTTGAATAAACAGACCTTCTCATCCATCTCCTTTTTGTAAAATTTGAGTCCAAATTAAAATGGAAAAGTTTCTATCTGTTTTCATTCCAGGAGCACAGTGGTTAAGAGCTCGGCTGCTAATCAAAAGGTCGCCAGCAGTTCAAATCCACCAGCCGCTCCTGAGAAACCCTGTGGGGCAGTTCTGCTCTGTCCTATAGGGTCGCTATGAGCGGAACTGACTTGACAGCAATGGGTTTGGTTTGGTTCTGGGTTTCATTCCAGACAGCTTTTCTCATCTGGAGTGCTTGTTCAAAACTGCGGATTCCCAGGCTCCACCCCAAGAATATGATTCAGTGGTTTGAAGATGGCCCAGCAATCTGTATTTTTCACAATAAATGTGAGGGGTCGTTCAAAAGAATTCACATGGGCTCAGATGAGCAAAACCAAAAATATTCATAGTACGAATATACCCTAATCTAGATTATTAAGAAAATGTCTAACAGACGTATTAAGGTATTTCAGGTGAATGTTAACAGGGAGCCAGATGTGAAAGACACTATTCCCACAAGTGGTGAAACAAGCCAGCAAGCCGGTACCAACCGGGATACTTCTTCCATACTGAAAACATGAAGAGCCAGCCATCTTCACGACTGACCGCAGACCCGGCTGTGCGTGCACAGTCACCAGCGGAGTCTGTTTAGCTGTCTTTCTTGTTTTAACAAGACGATATGTCCCACATGGTACAAAATGCCAAGGGTATCCATTAAAGTCTCTTCACCCCTGTGCCCTAGACAGCTGGGGTTCCCTAATGCAGAAACAGCCAGTTCTGCCAGCTTTTCTTTATTTACCTATGTATCCTTCTGGAGACAAGTCTATGCAGCTGTTTTTCCCCTTATTCATATACAGGGTAGCACAGTATACTCTCTGTTCTGTCACTCAGAGATTGCTTCATCACGTCTTGTCTTTTTTTAATAGCAGCATAGTACTCTATGGTCGTACAGCATGGATGCGCCATATTCAACCAGCCGCGGAACTTTAGCCAGCCAGATCCCAGGCAGACGGTACTGAGTACAGTCAAGGTAGAGAACGCAGCTCCATGATGAGAAAGTCTTACCTGTATCAGTAAATGACTGTATATCATACGTCAAGTCTATGTTAACACTTTCTGCATTCTCTACTCTCCGAAAAATTATTCCGAGGAACCACATTGACACGTAATTGTTGCTGTAAGGTAAAATTCAAGAATTTCCATTAATTTTACAATTTTACAAAGGCTACTCAATAATTAAAACTTGGTCGCTATGTAAGCATAAATACAGTGTTCAGTGGTTTGGCCAAATTCTGAAAACTGAAATCTACAACACTGGTTAGTTATCCTCTGTTGTTCTAAAGAGTGGCTTAGAAAATGACTTATGAATATGCACTCACAGACGCTCCAACCATTATGACGAAGTTTTCGCTGGGGTCTGGGGGCTACCCGTGTGTGCTCAGTTTTAACAAATGGCCAACTCACACTCCAACATACAATGTGTCACCCCCATCAATGCCTGTCACACCATCTCACAACTGCTCCCTAACAATGCATATGTCAAGTGACGCTATTTAAGAAACACCGTATTAAAAAAAGAACAATTAACTTACTCTTTATGATGTTCCTTATTTCCTGGGAATGACTGGGGATTTACGTGGGCAAGAGTAATAAATTCATTCCGTTCTAAGTTTCCAACAAGTACACGGATTTTAGACTCTACTAATCCAACCCTAAAATAAAAGAATGGAACAAGTTGTTTGTTTGTTTTTTATGTCCATATTAAATTTGGAAGCTATACTCAAGTAAATCAAACAATATATGATGCTTATGTGGTCACATAAAAAATTTAGTCCAGCATATTAGGTATTCTTTAAAAACATCCTTCAAGTAAATGAAAAGTTACTCAGTTTTTGTCTGTTGTTCCTTTTTTTCAGAAGAACTATTTTATTTAATGCATTCCTGAGTCTAAAATGTCTTGCTTTGGTTAAGACCTAAAATAAGCATTCCTTGAGCAGGAGCAAAAACTGCAGGTTAATCTGGCTTGAATCTTTCCCCACTTAACCCCTATATCTATGTTTAAATAGTATCAACAAAAAAACTAATACTGGCACATAAGTTATAAAACAAGTTCTGATTTTCATAAAATTAATACTAAACCTTGTGCGTTTTAAAAAAGGATTCATTAAAATTGGATCAAATACTACTAAAACATAGAAAGTTCCACCAGATTCCTACAGCCTATTCTCCACCTCAAGGAATGTAACCGCTGCCAGCTATCGTACATTAGCTATTATTTAATAATTATTAATTTAATAATAATTAATATTTTGTGCTTTAAGTGAAATTTTACAATTCAAGTTAGTCTCTCATACAAAAATTTATACGTAGTTTTGTGACCCTAGTTGCTCTCCCTATACTGTGACAGCATACTTTCCACCCTGGATTTCCTGTGTCCATTCAACCAGCTCCTGACCCTTTCTGCCTTCTCATCTCACCTCTGGACAGGAGCTCCTCATTTAGTCTCATGTGTCTACTTGAGCTAAGAAGCACACTCTTCATGAGTATCATTTTGTGTTCCACAGTTCAGTCTAATCTTTGTCTGAAGAGTTGGCCTTGGGAATGGTTTTAGTTCATGACAGAGAGCCATGCCTTTGGGGTCTCTCCAGTCTCAGTCAGACCATTAAGTCTGGTCTTCTTACTAGAATTTGAGTTCTGCACCCCACCTTTCTCCTGCTCCATCAGGGACTCTATTGTGTTCCCTGTGTCAGGGCGGTCGTTGGTGGTAGCATCTAGTTCTTCTGATCTCAGGCTGATGAAGTCTCTGGTTTATGTGGCCCTCTCTGTCTCTTGGGCTAATACTTTCCTTATGTCCATGGTGTTCTTCATTCTCCTTTACTCCAGGTGGGCTGGGACCAATTGATGCATCTTAGATGGCCATGCATTAGCTTTTAAGACCCCAGACGCCACTCACCAAAATGGGATGCAGAACATTTTCTTTAAAAACTTTAAGCCAATTGACCTCGATGAAACCATGGTCCCCAGACCCCTGCCCCTGCTACTCTGGTACCTTGAAGTGTTTGATTGTATTCAGGAAACTTCTCAGCTTTGGTTTAATCCAGCTGTGCTGACTTCCTCTGTAGTGTGTGCTCTCCTTCCCTTCACGTAAGATAATTCTTGTCTACTTTCTAGTTAGTGAATACCCCTCTCCCTCCCTCCTCACCCTCGTAACCTTTTCTTGAGTTCTAATGCTAGTAGTCTTATACAATATTTGTCCTAAGTACATGCGGCATAATACCTTCCAGATTCCTTCATGTTATGTTTCAAGAATTCATTGTTGTTCTTTATCGTTGTGTAGTAGTCCATTGTGTGGATATACCGTAATTTGTTTATCCACTCGTCCGCTGACGGGCACCTAAGTTGTTTCCATCTTTTTGCTATCGTGAACAGTGCTGCAATGAGCATGGGTGTGCATATATCTATTCATGTGATGGCTCTTGTTTCTCTAGGATATATTCCAAGGAGCAGGATTGCTGGATTGTATGGTACTTCTATTTCTAGTTTTTTAAGGAAGCACCAAATCGATTTCCAAAGTGGCTGTACCATTTTACATTCCCACCAACAATGAATAAGTGTTCAGTCTCTCCACAACCTCTCCAACATTATTTTGTGTTTTTTGGATTAATGCTAGCCTTGCTGGGGTGAGATGGTATCTCACCGTAGTTTTCATTTGTCTTTGTCTAATGGCTAATGATCGTGAGCATTTCCTCATGTGTCTGTTAGCCGCCTGAATGTCCTCTTTGGAGAAATGCCTGTTCATAGCCTTTGCCCGTTTTTTAATTGGGTTGTCTGTCTTTTTGTTGTTGAGGTTTTGCAATATCCTATAGATTTTATAGATTAGACGTTGATTGGATTTGTCGTAGCCAAAATTTTTATCCCAGTCTGTAGGTTGTCTTTTGACTCTTTTGGTGAAGTCTTTTGATGAGCACAAGTGTTTAATTTTTAGGAGCTCCCAGTGATCTAGTTTCTCTTCTGGTGTTTGTACACCGTCAGTAATGTTTTGTATTCTGTTTATGTCATGTATTAAGGCTCCTAGTGTTGTCCCTATTTTTTATTCCATGATCTTTATTGTTTTAGATTTTATATTTAGGTCTTTGATCCATTATGAGTTAGTTTTTGTGCATGGTGTGAGGTATGGGTCTTGTTTCAGTTTTTTGCATGGATATCCAGTCATGCCAGCACCATTTATTAAAGAGACTGTCTTTTCCCCAATTAACAGACTTTGGGCCTTTGTCAAATATCAGCTGCTCATAGGTGGATGAATTTATGTCTGGATTCTCAATTCTGTTCCACTGGTCTATGTGTCTGTTGTTGTACCACTAACAGGCTGTTTTGACTACCGTGGCGGTATAATAGGTTCTAAAATCAGGTAGTGTGAGGCCTCCCACTTCGTTCTTCTTCTTCAGTAATGCTTTACTTATCCGGAGACTCTTCCCTTTCCCTATGAAGTTGGTGATTTGTTTCTCCAACTCATTAAAAAATGTCGTTGGAATTTGGAACGGCACTGCATTGTATCTGTAGATTGCTTTGGGTAGAATTGACATTTTCACAATGTTGAGTCTTCCTATCCATGAGGAAGGTATATTTTTCCACTTATGCAGGTCTCTTTCGGTTTCTTGCAGTAGTGTCTTGTAGTTTTCATTGTATAGGTCTTTAATGTCTCTGGTCAGACTTATTCCTATGCATTTTATCTTCTTGGGGGCTACTGTAAATGGTATTGATTTGGTGATTTCCTCTTTCAGGTTCTCTTTGTAAAGGAATCCAACTGATTTTTGTATGTTTATCTTGCACCCTATGAGTTCCAGAAGTTTTCTTGTGGATTCTTGGGGGTTTTCTGTGTATAAGATCATATAATCTGCAAACAGAGATACTTTGACGTCTTCCTTACCAATTTGGATGCCTTTTATTTTCTTCTTCTAGCCTAACTGCTCTGGCTAGGACCTCCAGCACACATACATTAACTTATTGATGACTTTATGAGTTAGGAAGAACTAACTAAAATGGTTAAGTGCTCAGCTGCTAACTGAAAGGTCAGTGGTTCAAACTCACCAGTGATTCTGAAGGGGGAAAAGACCTGGCAGTCTGCTCCCATAAAGATTACGGCCTAGGAAACCCTACAGGGCAGTGCGACTCTGTCCTACAGGGTTGCTGAGAGTCAGATTCAACTCAACAACGCGGAACAACGACGACGACAAGAACATTTTATTTTAATTTTTCAAACACTTGAAAAAGCTATTATAATTGTGTGGGCTTTGATAGCAGACACAGAAAACACTGAACTACTCCACAGTGTTATCTAAGGGAGGGACTCAGAAACTTTGTATATAGAGGGCCAGACAGTAAATATTTTAGGCTTTTTGGACCATGCAATGTCTGTTACACCTATTCAACTCTGCAATTTAGCACAAAAAACAGTCATAGAAAATATATAAACAAATGAGCATTGCTGTGTTCCAATAAAAGTTTATTTTAAAAACAGGTGGCAGGATAGATTAAGCCAGACCATAGTTTGCTGGCCCCTCGTCTAGATGACAAATGAAATACTTTTTTAGTGAAAAGATTCTTTTCAGGGTCTTTGTCAGGTTTTACTTTTCCAGAAGTCAGACCTGAGGAAAGCAAAACCATTTCTGGTGGCTTTAACAGCTTCCGCCAGATGGAGCCGGGGACGTGTATACACTGGAGGCAGGAGGAGGGAATTCAGATGCACTAGAAAGGGTTCACTGCTCCTTGACCAAAAATAATTCCTATCTGTTGACAGAGGTTTAAAATTCTGAAATCTTTCATTTACGATCCCCTAAACTAAAAGGATTTTTTTCCTCCCTCCAAATATTTGATGGGGGAACATTTGACAGCAAGGTGGGGGGAACACAGTGATCAGAAGCTGGGTATCAGAATCATTCAAACTGCCTCATTTTCCTTAAATCTGACTCTGAGAAATGACAAAAAGGTAAGATCTATACATACGTCCTTATCCTGTGTCACTTCTGATTCTGAAACATTTATTTTATGTATTTCTTAAAACACTGATGACTCCATAGCAATGGACTACAGTCACCAACATAATCTAGTAATTTTGAAAGTCAAGGGAGAGAAAGTGTTTTATAAAAGGCAAAACAAAAAACCCCAAATCCGCTGCCATCAAGCTGATTCCGCCTCATGGCGACCCCAGGTGTGCAGAGTGTAACTGTGCTTCATAGGGTTTTCAAGGCTAAACCAGAAAAAGCAAACCTGTGGCTGTCGAGTCGACTCCGACTTACAGCGATCCTACAGGACAGAACAGAATGGCCCCCACAGGGTTTCCAAGGAGCAGCTGGTGGATTCAAACTGCTGACCTGTTTTGGTTAGCAGCCAATCACTTAGCCACTCCGCCACCAGGGCTCCTTTCAAGGCTAAGCACCATGTAAATATGCCGTTATCACTATACAGTCAGTAGAGATCTTGACGTAGCAGGCTTACCACTCTAGATGGTTCTCTTCTGTCGATGCGCTGGCAGTCAAGACTATATAATGTCTGCGAAGAATGTTCAGCAACAATCAGAAAAAAGAAACCAGCCAGAAACATTGTTAGGTTCTGCTTTTCCATTATTACTTTTTCCTTCTGTACCCCCTACCCCCTCCATGAGCAAAAGAGCTAATACAGGCACAGTTTATGAAAATAAAAGCATGGTCTGATTTTCACAGAATTAATTCTAGACCCTGCAATTAAAAATAAACTCATTAAAACAAAATCACCAACACTGGATCAGATACTAGAATACAGAGAGGCTCATCACTTGAGATTTCTACCACCCTATCCTCTACTTAAGAAACATTAAGTGACAGCTATCACCTCTCCTATATTAACTTTGTAAGTTTTACATTTTTCTTAACACACACACACACACACACACACGAACTACAGAATTTCAAATACCTGTACTTCTGAAAAAAATTGGGTGGCTCAAGTAGTTTGGACCAATCTGATTTCCCTTGGAGAATTTCATCTGTGACTGCAAGACCTAAAGTAAAAAAAAAAAAAGACTTTGAAAATGGATCAGTGTATTATTAGCTCCAAACAGCCCTGGTAGTGCAGTGGTTAAAGAGCTCGGCTGCTAACCAAAAGGTTGGCGGTTCAAAGCCACCAGCCGCTCTGCGGGAGAAAGATGTGGCAGTCTGCTCCCATAAAGATTTATAGCCTTGGAAACCCTATGGGGCAATTCTACTCTGTCCTACAGGGTCGTTATGAGTTGGAATCAACTCGACGGCAGTGGGTTTTTTTTTGTTTGTCTTTTTAAATTATTAGCTCCTGTCACACCCTATACCCCAAAACCTCTAATCCCACCAAATTCTTGAGTTAAAAAAAAGTAAATTTATATGTTGTTTCTTTGAACACAAAAATCGATTTCAACCAGACTGGACCGGCTCCATTTCTGGCCTTAGTACCATATACTCTGGAAAACTAATTACTGAAAAAATACACATTTGAAAGAATTTTTAGAAATAGGCTGTTATATACACTCTAACTGCCAATCCACATATGTAATAGAGAATAAAATTGTTGTCAAATATACACTTGTGGGAATATGTAAAGGGCAATAGGGCCAACATGTTTACCTTGTTTAAATTCTTCTACCATTACTGTTCGAGTTGATGTGGACACATTATACGTAGAATTCTGTTGTGGGTAGGCAGGGGTGATTATGGGCATGAGATGATACCTATCTGATGGATTTACCTGTGAAATTAGAAGCAGAATAACTGATCTAGTCTCCTATTTCAGTTGTTCTCACTTCATTTCCCCAAAAGTCTGAAGAATATGTAATATAAATTTAATACTACATTTCCTCAATTCTAAGATATACATTTTCCCTCCCCAACTAAATGTACTTCTGAAGTCAGATGGGTCTGATAGTCAAAATCAAAGAAATCTTTACAGAAGTTTATTTTTCCCCCGAAAAGCTGTTAAATTGATGGTCTGTCTTATGAACAATGGTCTTTTAGAATCAAGGAAATACAGTATTATAGCTGCAAAAAGCATTTTCTGGTCAAAGGCTGTCAACCCTTTTTCTGCACCCAACAGATGACCCCCCCTAGGGTCGCTATGAGTCGGAATTGACTCGACGGTAACGGGGTGTTTTTTTTTTTGTCACTCAGAGAAACGAACACTCACTCCACAAGCCACTTAAAAGGCAAGGTGTGAGAGAGATACAGAGAGTGACGCTGTCTTGGAAGCCTGGGTCTGCGGTAGGTTGCATTGCAAAGCTCATCTTTTATACGCTTCAGTACTTTAACTGTTTCTAATAACTAATTCCTCGTGAGACAGTTTTTCACGATGGATTATGACATTCTGGTTGCTACACTGCCTCGTCTAGTTTTACCTGGGCAGTTTCTAATGACATACCATTCGGATCAGATTGGAGATACAAATCTGCACCAAAAACACAGCAGGGGGAGGAAAGCACGAGGACGAGAGGGATCGAGAAGGATGAGCACGGGCAGGAGGGATTCTCGTTAGACTCTAATTTAGAGAAATGTCCTTTTCCTAAAAGGTTTGATGAAATTACACAGGCACATACCCGAGGATCCCAGACCGGCAAATTCAAATTGCTTTCTTCTGGTTGCTTCAGCAGCACAGGATTTGGCCATTCCCTAACATGAACGAGGCAAATTAACTCACACAGGACTCACTTCTGGCACTATGTGAAATGTTAAATCACTAGACTCTGTTCCCACCCTCGCAGAGCAAATGCGCCGGCTGTTTGGTATTTTAGAAAAAGAAAGAGGGAGGGAAGGAAGTGTGTAAAGGAAAAGGCAGCGCTCTCTGAGCAGGCAGACACTGACCTGCCCACTAGCTGTAACTACACCTGAATCTCCTCTCAGCTCTTCTCGTGGACTTAACTTCCATCATTTAATAGCAAATACAACAGCTAACACTTACTGAAAACACTAATAACAATCCATGTGATGATGAGCATTATCGTTTATCACTGCCGCCTGACCCACGAGGACAGGTTAAACAGCTTCTCCAGCCACTCCAGTTAGTAACTGGCAGAGCCAGACCTGTTGTGACCACGCCCCTAAGACACAGGCCCATGTTTACAGCACCCTGGAAGAAAGCTGCAGCTAGATGTCCCACCAGTGCCTCAAATCTGACACGGTTTTAAACTTTTAACTTAAAAAAGCTATGTGAGACAACAGGAAAAGTGGACGCAGAGCTCTTAAATCACCAGACAAATGTACACACAGGCAGATGTTAGTAAAGAGTCCAAGTATGCAGACAAATACTTACCACTTGGAAAAAACTAAGAAGAACTTATGAACTAACGTAGAAGCTGCTGCATTTGGATACAGTTGGCAAGTCCTGGCAACTAGCATGGCCCAGGAGACACCACCAAGGAACCCCAGCATGTTGGAATAAATACCACGTCCTGGAGAAATTAATGCATTTGTTAGTCAGTGTTAGAGTCTACTGCCCATAGCATTCAACCACAAGGAACAGGCTAACTTCATTCTTTAAGACTGTTGCTTAGAACTCTTTTCCTCTATAAAAACCACGTTAAAACTGCTCAGCAGGCCTGCACGCTAGCCCCACTGTAAGCTGTTCATCTTACCCCTACCCTGCCCTGCAATATAGGCAACTCAGACCCCTGCCTCAGCTCCAACTGCCCAACTGGGCTCGACCAATATTATTACACTGGAATTTCCCACCTTTTGATATCTAGAATTGAGAGGGAAACGAAAGGAAGGAGGAAGGATATTTCGGAGGGTCTACAAGGAAGGAAGAATAAAACTTTAATTAGTAATCACATTCACAGGTATTTTAAAAACAAGTGTAAGGCTGGGGACTAACTTCAGTATTTTGCACAAGTTGGATAATCAAAAAAAAAAAAGCTCAATCTACTGCCGATTCCGACTCACAGAGACCCTACAGGACAGAGTAGAACTGCCCCATTGGGGTTTCCGTGGCTGTAAATCTTTGCGGAAGCAGACTGCCACATCTTTCTCCCGCAGTTACCCTTCCATGAAGCAGAATACATCACTGATATTATTCATTGCTTATATAACTGTTTCTTATAGCAATCTATTAAAAAAAAAAAAAGATTACCATATTTCATCAAACCTAAGATGCCTTCAATTATGTAATGCAGCATTATTTTAATGGCCCACTAGGCAAGCAAGAGAAAAAAACCTACAAAATACCAATTTCAGAGATCTGAACTGTGAAAAACACGTATCTAAGTGACGAAACATGGTATTTCACGTCATCTGTAAGGAAAGACAGGTTGTTGGGGTCAGCCCTTCACTGCAAACTCTGACTGTACAAGACACTCAAGCCCAAGGGCACACCCTACTTGCTTAAGGACTTTTCAGACCTGCATTGTAGTAACCACAAGCCACACGTGGTTGTTTAATTTTCTTTAACAGCTTCATTGAAACGTAGCTCATGTACCATAAAATTCAGCCATGGAAAGCCTACAATTCAATGGTTTTTACTATCTTCAGAGTTGTGCAACCACTGCCACAGCCAATCCTAGAACGTTCTCATCACCCCAAGAAGAAACCCTGCACCTCGGCAGTCACCCTCCCCGCAATGCCTCCCCTCTCCCCAGCCCCTGGCCACCACTGATCCACCTTGTGTCTCTGTGCAGTGGTCTAATGTGCACGTTTCACATAAATGTAACAATACACTCCATGGTCTCACGTGACCAGCTTCTCATCACTTAGCATGTTTTCAAGGTTCATCTATGTCGTACGTGTATCAGCTTTTCATTCCTTTTTTATGGCCAAACAGTCCACTGTATATTATTCCAAATACTATTCCCTTCATCAGTCGGTAGACATTTTGTTTCTGCTTTCTGGCTATCATGAACAATGCTGGTATGAAAATATGTACAAGTTTTTGTGTGGACATGCTTTCATTTCTCTTTGGTATTATTTAATATTAAGTTAATTAAAATTTAAAAATTCAGTTCCTCAGCTGCAATTTCAAGCGGCCAGCAGCCAGAGGTGGCTCGTGGTTACTGCACTGGACGGCGCAGACACAAATCACCTCCAACATCACAGAAGTTTACTGGACCGCGGGGGCTCAGAGCACGTAAAACCCGGTGCCAGAAGCGCAGCGCTGCTACACGCGGTCACGAATAACACGAAACATGCTTTGCCAGCTCAAAAGTAGGCTATGGGACTTTTATGAACCATACCCTATACGGGCAGACGAGTGCAGTTTCAGGCTTCATCAGAAGAGTGTTGAAAGGTAAAAGCAAAAACAAGCTGAGACTCCCACTGCGGACTCCTCAGTTAATAAATTCATTGTGCCCCTGCTGTAAGCCAGACTCTTTGCTGACCATGCTGGGGCACGACGACGAGGAAGACGGTCCCCCCCGTACAGGGAGCTCAAAGTCCAGAGGGTTTTCCTCTACGGACTGGGTCTGACTCATCCTGACTGCCTGGCTGAAACCTAAGATGGAAAGCCAGGGGGCTTTCACCCAAGGCAGAAGGAGGTACAGTCACACCAGGGCTTCAAACTGGTTCGTTCTGGTTCGAACTCCTACCAAGAAACTGCCTTTCCACTCCAGCCAGACTGGCTCAGGACGTACATTTTAACAAGACCCCCAGGTGACTCCTATGTACAATAAATGTTAAGAACCACTGCTCTAGTGGTTGTCAGAATCGGTCCCTAACGAGCAGCATCAGCATCGCCCGGGCACTTGTGATACGGAGAACGATCACCGCGGTACCTGACGAAGAAACCACTCTCCACACCTCACTGAGCCTCACTCTCCAACGCTCTGAACAGCTTCGGGAGTTTCTGTCAGTGCTTCTATCACTGGCAACTGAAGACTGTAACTCTATCATGCACACGTAAAATACAGGACTTGGGGTACTCACGTTTTGCCCATAATTTGACCGCTCTCAGGGTGAGTCTGAAAGTTTCTTTATTTGGCACTAAGTGCAAAATCTCATCAGTAACTCTACATCCTGAAAAAGACAAAGGATCCATTTTTCATTATGCAACAAAACCCAATTAATTCAAATACCCTACTAACTTCTAGACTCTCAAATCCTTAAGACACGAAAGAGAAAAAGAAAACTCAGGGTTTATTTTATGTATTTGAAATTTAGCACTTGTGTGTGTGTGTGTGTGTGTGTGTGTGTGTGTGTATGAGAAATCACTTTGCTTTTAAAGAATTAAAAAGTACATGGGTAATGAAATCCAATATTAAAATAAGAGACGCGTCTGAATATCTTTTTATTAAGCTTTCTTCCATATTTGAGTTTACTGTTACATCAAATACGTCCGAGTTGTAAAATTGTTCCTGCTTCACTGCAAACCTTCTATGCAAATACTGTGAGTTGCTGCTGTACTCTGGAAGTACAGCCAAGATCAGCGACTAAGTTAAACAAAAAACTAAAAACAGTGGTTCTCAAAGAACGGGCTGTGGGCCCCTGGGGGTCTCTGAGGTCACACCTACTTTTACAACACTAAGGCTTTTTTGCCTTTTTCACTGTATTCTCATTTGCACTGATTGTACAAAAGCAACAGTGGATCAAACTCTTGGTATCTTAGCAATGAATCCAGGCAGTGGCAACACAGCAGATAATACATTCTTCAGAGTCACACACTTGTCATTAAAAAATAAAATTCTGTTTTAAATATCTCGAGGAAAGGAAGTTGTGCAATTGTTTGAGTTGTAAGCTGAACTAGCTACTCTTTTCAAGGGACACCAGTTTTATTTAAAGAATGACTGACAGACATACCATGATTACTCATACTTGGGTATTCAGGAGAATTTTCTAAAAGTGAGCCCCTTGATTCAAGGAAAACAAATGAATTTCTTGCCAATAATAAAATTCAAGCTTTCAAGTGAAAATTCAAATTTAGGAAATCTTGTACCTGCCACTGTGAGCCTGACAGCTTCCTAACACTTAAAGACTTTTCTGGTGGGATTGGTGGTGATAATGATGTTATTATTATTTTTTTTAATTGTCTAATGAAATGTGTTGACAATCGGGGATCCAGATATCCTGTTGCTGTTGTTGGGTGCTGTCGAGTCATTTCTGACCCCCAATTACCGCACGTGACAGCAGAACTGTCCCATGGGGTTTTCCCGGCTGTAATCTTTAGGGGAGCAGTCTGCCAGGTCTTTGTCCTGAGGAGCTACTCGGTGGGTTCCAACTGCCAACCTTTCGGCTAGCAGTTGAGCGCTTAATCGTTTGTGCCACAAATAACTTAGTGAACCACTATTTTCCAAAGGATCAAGGCATGGTAACACAAAATAGTAAAGAATCCATTCAAAGAACAAGACAGACCAATGGGTTTTAATATAAACAGTACAAAAATTCACCGCTAAGTTTCAGATTCCATATTGTAATTAAACGTTAAGAAACTATCACAGTTATTTAGCAATAAAAAGCAATGAACTTCCAACACATGCTGCAAAACACAGGGAAGCTCACGAACATTATGCTAAGTTAAAGAAGCCAGACACAAAAGACCACGTACTGTATGAAACGTCCAGGACAGGCAAATCTACAGAGACAGACAGTAGACTGCTGGTTGTCTGGTGCTGAGATAGGAAGGGGGGAGTCACTGAAAATGGCATGAGAGGTCTTTCTGGAGTGATGAGAATTTCTAATACTGGATCATAGTGATGGTTGTAAAATGGTGAACACACTAAAAACCCCTGAACTGTGTACTTGGAATGGACGGATTTTATGGTATGCAGCTTTATCTCAATGAAGGTGTTCAGAAGGAAAAAGAAATGGCCACTGGTCCAGTTTTAGTGTAGTATCAAAAAATATCCACGACTATCTGCAAAGACTTCTCAACATCTAAGGAAGCCACGTTTTCTTTCCGTACTTCACCCGAAACAACGTATCACAGCAGACTGACTGTGGCAGCAGCTATGACAGTACAGCTGCCCTATATTAGGTCAAACACTAAAAAGACTTGTAGAAATGCAAAAAAATGCCATTCTTCTCACACAAAAAAACATAAAACGGGTTTATTTTGTTATTTCTAAATAAAAACACAAAAATTTCTGTTTTTATTTCTAACATGCTAACATATTGACAGATATAACCCACATAAATGAAAGGTCTTTGGAGTCCCCCAATAAATTTTAAGAGTGTAAAGGGGTCCTGAAACCACAAGTTTGAGAACCATTGCTATAAACATAAACCATCTTTCATATACATATGTGGTTTTAAGATGCCTGTATGTGGCCCAATTAACTGTATAAAGATAATTAAACTAAATCAGTTGCAATCAAGGTGACTCATGGCAACCCTACGTATGTCAGAGTAGAACTGAGTTCCAAAGTGTTTTCAAGAGCTGATTTTTTTCATAGTGATTCAACAGTAGATCGCCAGGCCTTTCTTCTGAGGCACCTCTGGGTGGACTTGAACCTTCAGGGATGCCAGATAAACAGTATTTAATGAAATGTACTAACACTTGGGAGATCCAAATAACTTGTTGCTGTTGTTGGGATAAAGATAATTACAGCATCATTTTTAATTTAGTCTGAATTCCTTAAAAAGTCCATCAACAGTCAGTTCTGCAAAAAAATCTCTATTTTTCTAATCGCCTTCAAAGCAAGTACCTGAGATTTCTTCTTAGGGAGCTTACCATTTAAGCTGCGAATACACCTTATATCAAGGCTTCTCAGACGAGAGTCATCTCTTAGATCTAAGTTATCTGATATGGTTTGTATCGCCAGTCTTGCAAAGACTAGATCAATCTTTGGAAACAAAGAGAGAAAACACATTACTTTTTTCCTTCTAGTCCCACCTCCACCATCTCAAAAATGTAAAAAGTTCTATTTATTAGTTTGGAAAGTTTTTACCAAAACTTCAAAATGACTATGTAGGTAATCCACATAGGAAAAACACTGCAAAGTTTTATTAAGGTAATTAACTTTTCAAATTAAGGGAAAGTATTTTAAACGTGGCATATATGCTAAGCACAGGAAAACACATCAAAACCCTGTGGGTGGGTTTCTAGATACAGATGGCAGGTCCCACACACCCCTACATTCATTCTCCCTTGGAGCCCACTACAGTAGCAGTAACATTCTGCTTTGTGTTTTATCCAGTTTTACTTTGTTTTTAAAGGCATAATGCATTAGGACAAGGTGCATAGGAGACACAGCACAGAAGCTGGAAAGCAGTGGCAACAAGCGGTAACAGACCCAGCAGATCTAAGAAAGCAGAGATGAGAAATGCTGCATCCAGAAATTAAGGACAGGAGGCTGTAAATAAACACATCATAAAAAAAAAAGGAACAATTAGAGAATCAGAAAGTTATTCTTAGAAATTAAAAATACGACAAGAGAAATGAAAAACAATAGAAAGTCTGGAAGATAAGAGAACCCCAAAAGCTGAACAAAAAGATGAAGACACGGTTAATAAGTGAAAGGGAAGAGGTTTTTTTAAAAAAAGAAAGAAATAAAAAGAGGACCAGTCTAACATCCAACTGTTAGGAGTCACAGATAGGAGAAAACAACAACAGGAAATCAGATAGAATTCAATAAAATTTCCAAGAACTGTAGGAAATGAATTTCCAGACTGAGAAAGGACTCCTGAGTGCCCAGTATATTCACTGAAGAGACTCATAACCAAAGTATGTTATCATGGATCTCACAATTATAAAGGAAAAAAAAAATCCTATAAGCTTCCACAGATACAAAACAGGTCACAGACAAAGAATGAGGAATCAAGATGGCAGCACACTTCTCCAACAGCAAGGAAGCTAGAAGACAAGGAAGTAAGACCTTCAAAATTCCAAAGAAAAATTATTTCCTACCTAGAACTCTATACTCAGCCAAACTATCGAGTGTGTGTGAGGAAAGAATAAAGATGTTTTAAAACATGCAAGATCACAAAAAACTGCACTCTTTCTCAGGAAGCTATTGGGTGAGCTCCACTAAAACCAGAGTACATCAAGAGAGAAGAATAAAATCCTAGAGAAGCCAAAAGGAAACTGCAGGATGACAGGAAAGGAAGATGCCAGATGACAGCTGTACACCAGTCCTGGAGAGCGACCAGCTTGTACCAGAACACGTAAGGGGACTCACTGAGCTATTTTTTCAAGATGATAATGAGAGAATACTTGATGGATCTAAACCTATTTAGCCAACTAACAGAGACTGGGTTTGACTTAGTCATAAGTATGAAAACCAAGAAAACCAAAACAATAATTATTAATTCTTGAGAAAACAAAATGTCAAATAGCAAAGAACGGTAATCTAGTATATTTCGTGCTCAGCTCTGAAACCTATTTATAAGATTATAGTGTAAACACTGACTATTGCTCCAGCCAACATTCCAGTATGATGTAATTATTTCAGGAGACTGGGGGAAAGAGAAGGGTGTGTACAAGGATCATGGGGGTCGGTTCATTTTCCATGGTGAGAAGTCAACAGATAAGAGAGAGGAAGGTGAGGGGCTATTTGATTCTTTTAAACTATGTGCCTATGTTTAAGTCTGATTTAAAACAGAACAAAACAAAACCTAAAATTAAAAAAATTATGGGTTAAATAGTTCAATTATAAAGTAAAAAAAAAGTTGTAACACTTACTTCAATACCATCAAATTCAAATTTTATAACAGGTACAAAAGCATCTTCTACAGCCTACAAGAGAGGAAAACAATTAAAACACATAGGTGTAACCCCTTCTTTGCCCTTTCTAACCAGCAATGATGGGAATACCTTTGCTCCCAACTTGCATTCTAAATCAACAGGAAAAGTAACAATGTTCTTGGTCTTACATTGCAGATAAGTACTTCTGCTTCATGACTTGTGTTATCTGAGATACACAAAATGCTCTGATGGTAGTTATCGGGAGGCACCTGGGAAAACTAATCACAAACCGGAAGGCAGAACAGCTATCATTCAGGTCCTTGATATTTCTTAAGCTTAACTTGAAAACTGATTATTTAGAAAGAGCATTCGTGTTAGAAATTAAAAAATAACCAGAGCTCATGACTAACCTATCAAAAAAAAATCTAACGATATGGTCAATACAGTCTGGATTAATTTAGAAGAAATGATATCTTTTTGAGCCTTCCTTAATCCCCCAACCTAACAAATTCTTAATTACCTTCTTTGAAAGCTTTCCCAGATTCCTAAATATTGCAGATCTCTTGGGCTTTACCTTGTCCTAGCACTTGAGATTGTGTTAAGAACTGCCTGTTTACCGAGTGTCCCCATCTGCCCCCCACCACGTATAATGTCTTGTTTACTACTGTATTTGGGGGACTAAGGTCAGTGTCTGATGATTATTGGTGCTCATATTCTACTTGCTGAATGAAGGGCTAGACTTACGTATTTAAAGAGTTCCTAACTGAACCTTGCATTTAATAGCTGCCACTACTTGATATGCTTTATGTGAATTATCTCATCAATCCTCAAAAAAACCTTACAAAGAAGTTATCACCATCTCCCTTTCACAGATGAGGAAACTGAGGCGCAAAGAGAAGAGGTAAGTTGACCAAGGTCAAAGAGCTAATATGTGGTGGATTCCAGCTTCAAACTCAGGTCTGTGTAACTACAAAGCCCTTGCTCTTAATCACTACGCATTATTTTAACACGACATAGCAACTTCTTAAGTATTTCAATAATCAAAAGCTCTAGCTTTTATAGCTACTTGTTACTGAGTGCAAAAAATTAAACATCAGAGGATACTTGCCCTTAAGTTTCTAATGCCATCTTGATGTTTCAATTTCTCAAAGAAAGACTGAAAAAAATCAGATCTCTCCACGTGTCTTGGAGCTACACAAAGTGCATCAATGTCGGCTCCTGCAAATCAAAGTATTTCCTATCAAGAAGAGTGCATTAAGTATGCATTTATATTTCTGCTACAGGATACACACACAGCGTATGTACAGAAGAAAGTATGCAAAATGAGTATCGAAAAAATGTTAACAATGATTAGCTCTGAGGAGGGAGAGTATGGGAATTTTCTTCTGTATTTTCTAATTATGAAAATGAACAAGGGTTTGTTTTCAAAGTTCTTATCACTAGAACACAGAAAAACACTTACCTTTGGTGTGTACTCCAAGCCTATAGGATCCAAATGTGAAAATTTTACCACCGACAGTGGCCACAACAGAAGGTGGGAGATTCTATGACAAAATTAAGGAAAAGGCATTCAAACATTCAAATTACTTCTCATAAAAATCACCCAGATGCTTACTGCCTCTTATTGAGCCAATGGTATATAGAACATTTATAAACCTTGTTGAGATGAGATTTGTACAAGTACTTCAGGGCTCCTTCAGTTGCAACCTGAAGTAATGGGGCTGCTCCCAGAGGGAAGAGAAAGAATTCATGCCTACTCTGCATACCCACATCTTCATCTTAAGACAAACACTGTTTAATCACTAGCCCTACTTTTCCCCTCTAATTGCTTGTTTTTGGCTCCATCTCTCTCAGTGGTCATCAAGAAACTCTTAACTATCAAACTAAACGTGCTTCCTCTCCCCCAAGCAGATACTCTTCATCAATCCCATCTTCCCTTTAGTTTCTGTGGCAGATTGCTTCCTTTCTGGATTCTAGCTCCACAACCTTTCTGCTGTATAAAGTCATAGTCAGCCTAAGTGGGGTCATTCTTGCCATAATCTCCTGATGAGAGCTATCTACCCATTTTAATTAATGTCATTTTGATTGTACCATAATTATAATGCTACTTCTCACCTCTCTCCAGAGCCAACTTTAACTGCCCATCAGATATTTTTACTCAGACATCCTGATCCACTTCGATATGCATGCCTGAAACAAGTGAAAAATCGTTCCTACGATAAAAACCAGGCATCCCTCCTGACTTCCCTTTTTCTGTTCCTCATTTTTCTTACTGCCCAGACTTATAATCATTATCCTTCCTGACTCCAATTCTTAGTTTGTATCCCTCATATTTGTCTCCCCTTTTCTATTCAACTACCATACCCCAATTCTAGACTCGTAGCCAACTCCTTGCCTAAATCTTTCTTTTCTCTGAATCCATTTTGTACAAAACTCACTGGCTCATGTTCTTAAATTACTCTATCATATAATTCTTCTGCTCAGAGCCTGCCAATGCCTTCTTCTCTGACTACAGAAGAGGAGGATCCTTGGGCCTGCTACTGAAGATCTCCACAACACGCTCTTGTGGGTCGTTCTTCCTTGTCTCCTGATGCTCACTTGTGAAGCTCCAACCATCAACATCATACTCCATCCAGTCTCTTTTCCACTGCACGGGCCACTACCTCTGCCTGGAATACCTGTCTCTCTTCTCTGAGTATCTCAATACCATCTATTTCAAGGTTCACTTCAAGCTCCAACTCTTCCGTGAAGCCTTCCCTAATCATTCCCACTCCTTAACGGGCTTTTTCCTCTATGCTCCTCTACCATCGTCATCTTTAAACTCTCATACTGTGGCCTTTATTGACTTTTTTTTTTTGGATGTGAGTCTCATCTCTTCAACTTTATTTAAATTCCTTGAGGGTGAGAGGACTATGTCTACTACTTCTATTTCCCCATAATGCCCAGTGCAAGTCCCCAAGAATAAGATCTGCTGCCTGACTTGACCAGAAGTATCTGTGTAACAAGATATTTTGTTACTTACTTTAACGGGTATGAATATTTCAAGAGTCTACAAATAATTTTACAGCTAGATAGGAGTCTCTAAGTTTACTGATGAATAACATGACGCCAGGACCTTAAAAAATCTTTTAGTTTACCTTCCTGCTTTGAAAAGCATGACACTTGCATGATTTACGAGAAAATGATACGCTCAATCACAGGGTAAAATAACTTCACCACAAACCACAGCATTTAACTAAAATCATTTCGTTCGGAGTTCTAGATTGTTTGAAGTTTAAATAGTCCAACTGAGTGTAGAATATTCAAACGATCTTTGATAGAACTCAAATCCTTCCGTTACAGTAAAACCTGCAAAAGCCAGAACCTGCGTTAAGGCGGAAACCTGTCAGAGAAGGAAAACGCAAATATTTCCCACTAAAGGGGGACAGAAAGTGCTAAGACCGCACCCTGTCAAAGGCAGAGACTCACGAGACCCAGAAAAACAAGGCAGCCCCTTTCAATTCCAGCTCTGACAGGTTCCACTGTATTTTTCAAATTAAAGTATGCCTAAGTGAAAGGGAATTACAACTGATAGTCAGAAAATGACCAATCACTTAATCCACTCAATGAAATGTTAAAACCAACTTAATTTTTTAATTACTCACAACTAGCATCATTTCACTGCTCAAAATTCAGCTTGTCCAACAACCTCAACTATCAATAACCCTGCTGAGAGCTCAGAAACGAGCCAGAAGGCCTTTCAGCAGAGTCCATTGTTTAAAAGAAATAATTCTAAATACAGAATTCTAAATAGTTCTAAATCACAGTACAGAAATAATAAAAACTGTAAAAGAAAAAATACTAAGATATTTATCTAGCTTCTAAACTTCTGCAGATGGAGGGGGCATCGTTACAGACACACTGACAGCTGTGACACGTTAACTCCCAACTGTTTGCAGTTAAGATGGGACTACTACAAAAAACAAACAAAAACCTTCAAATACGATAGTTTGGGCTACTTGGTGAAAAAGCAAACAGTGTTGCCCAGTTGAACAAACTCTACCTTACTCAATACAGTCAGTGAAACAATATTCTTAAGTGATGATTCTGAAACAATAATGAAAATTCAATTACATTCAAAATACCCTTAAGACGGCAAGACAAATGTAATCAATTCTAGAGGAAAAACAGTTAAGCTACCAGAGGCGAAGACTTGTATAAATCAGGATCTGCGAGCTTCTGCGTCTCAGGCCAGGCAGAAGTACATACACGGAACACAGAAGCTGGTCAGCAGCCACCTGCTGTGTCAGGGAAAACACAGAGGCGCTGGAGGCCAACCAATCCCATATAACCTGCTTCCTGCCTTGCACAAAAGCAGGCCCAGCGTTACCAGATCTGGTACTTCACAAGAAGTTTGAAATCTGGCTTTTTAGGAAAAACCACCTGTTATTTAAATTTTGGCCCAACACATGTGGCTCAAGCAAGACACGAACGCGGACTCGCAGCTACACATCAGCTACCTCTGGGGTAAATCCTCATCCATTTGGAAACTCAACTGTCTACAACAATCCATGCCCGATTATACCAGAGAGCCAAGCTGTAATACATTTCAGACGATTCTCAAGTCCTCCATCTGATTAGCAGGACTAACGACCAGGACAGAATGAACCAAGGAATTCCATGGAGTTTAATTTAACATCTTACCTTACTCTCACTGACATGGGAAATCCATTCTTTTACTAAATTGTTCAATTTACCAAGAACCACCAGCCTATAATTGGAAAAAAAAAAAAAAAAAACTGGTTAAAAAAAATTAATCATACACGCAGTCACCGTGTTGGTCGTAGGGTAAAAGCACACTATATTCATGCTAATGCCGTCACATCTGTAGATCCATGGTATCTTCCACAAGGCTGCAGAGGCCCGCTGAACTGTCACCCCTTCTTGGCCTCACTGTGGAACTAGATCAACCCAGCATGGTGACAGAGGTTAGCATTCTCTCCCTGTCAGTCACGGGTCTTCAGATCATTAAAATGGGTGTATCACCACATCATTTTTAATAAAGCAGTTTGGTATTAAAACAAAAAACTTGTAGCCAATGGCGTATCAAAATTCACATTTAAAAACAAACAAAAAAATTAGTTCAGTCATCTCAAAGATAACGTACCCAAAACTGAACTCCTCATCTGTCCAAATCTGCTTTTACGTCAGTCTTTCCCAGGTGATGGAACTCCATCCTTCGAGGTGCTCAGATCAAAACCCTTGGCACCTCTCTCTCTTAAATTCCAGTAACTAAACTCTAGCAACTCTACCTTTAAAATACACTCCCACTCCCACTATTTACAATCCCTCCACTGCCAGCCCCGCTGTCCAGCCACCATCCTTCCCCCTGGGTTATTCTAACAGACTCCTAACTGGTCTCTCTGTTTCTGCCCTTGCACCCCTCTCTGGACTATTCTTAACACAGCAGCAGAGTGACTGTTAAAACATGAGTCAGATCACATCAGTTTTCTGCTCAAGACCATCTAATCACTTCCCACTTCACTCAAGAGTAAAAGCAAAAACCTTTACAATGGCTTAAAAGGTTCTCAGGGACCTTGCCTTCCAAGCCCCTCTCCTCTCACTTTCTTTAAGCCCATTACCTCCTGCTCCTCCACCCCTCACACACTGTGCTCCAGATACCCAGGCTACTTTGCTGTGTATTCCTCAAACATACCAGGTATACACCCACCTCACGCCCTGTGCCCAGACTGCTCTTCCTCAAATATCCACATGGTCTCTCCTTCACCTTCTAATCTTCCCTCAAATGTCACCTACTCAAAGAGGCTGTTATGGACTGACCTGTGTCCCCCCAAAATGTGGTCAACTTGGCTACGCCATGATTCCCAGTTATTGTATGGCTGTCCACCATTTTGTGATCTGATGTGATTATCCTATGTATTGTTTCTCTACGATGTTAATGAGGCAAGATTAGAGGCAGTTATGTTAATGAGGCAAGACTCATCTATAGGATTAGGTTGTATCTTGAGTCAATTTCTTTTGAGATATGAAAGAGAGAATGGAGTACACAGGACAAGAGACCTCCTACCACCAAGAAGAGCTGGGAGCAGAGTGTGTCCTTTGGACCCAGGGTCCTTGCGCTGAGAAACTCCTCGACCAGGGAAGACTGATGACAAGGACAAGGACTATCCCCCAGAGCCAACAGAGAGCGAAAGCCTTCCCCCAGAGCTAGCGCCCTGAATTTGGACTTCAACTCCCATCCCAGCTTTATTTTTCTCTGCAGCACTATCACCTTGTAACGTTCTATTTATTTTACTTATTTATTTGGCGTATTGTTAGTCTCCTCCGCCAACCCCAAAGTAAAATGTAAGTTCTATAAGGGCCAAGACTTTTTTCTTTTTTGTCACCAGCTAATAGGCCTGGTACACAGTAGGTATTCAATATGTTTGCAGAATTAATCATTGAATATTTTAGTTTTAAATGACATACCTGTGGTTCAATTCTTCCTCATCTTCAAATACTCCAAATGGTTTCATGGCATCAATTAATTTCTCTGTGTAAATATGATCAATTTCTTTAGGACATGCCAGACTGATTGGAGAGGTGATTCCATAATGCTTTTGCTGACGCTGGCTGTCCAGCACAGTGTTTCTGTTCAAGAAAAATGAAAAAGCAGGAAATTTTAAAAGTATCATATGATACGGACACACTGAATCCTTCCATCGATTGCATGCTAATTTAGCTATCTTAAAAGTCTACTTAGACTACTAGTCAGGGACAAGCACTTTTTTAAAAAGGAAGAACGGGTATTTTGTGTTTGTGTTTATGAAGGGCTATTCATACTGACTCCAGCTTTCATGGTTAGGATGTCTTCTGCAGCCAAAAGCAGCATGTGTTGGCATCGGGACAGCAGTGTACCAACACCACTCAGCTCCAATCCAAAGAGCCTGAATGGGAGCTGTGCCAGGGCCACCTCCACCACACCCTGCAGACTTAAGTCAAGTACCATCCAGATTCTAGAATCTTTGAAAAGCAGTCAACCACTTGGAAGAACTCTAAGTAAGAACAATGTTTTTTTCCCCCCATCAGGATAGAAACAAAAACATCCCATGAGAAGGTCTTTGTGAAATACTCTGGCTTTTAAAAAGAAATCACTAGAGTTGACCTTGAGAAACTTACATTAGCATCCTTTGCTTGAATCAGCGTGTACAGTTCTAACATTCTGAAGGCTCTAGCTAATTGGTCCTGGTTCTGTTCATCAGAACAAGGCCGCATGTAAAATTTCCACATTGAATAATTATCAAATTCTTTACACTAAATGGCAGCCTCTTATAGGATACAATATAAGCCACCTGCCAAAGGCCTTAGCCATAATGAAATTACCGTCTTGAACAAAGTTCAACAGAACTTCTGAGACACAGATCACTAATTTCAAAATAAATTTTGGCACCAACATGGGTTAGTAAAACTTTTTATTTTGCTAAGAAAGTAAAACAAACATACAAACCAACCAACCCTAAAACCTAGCTTCACTATCCATAGATGAAGGGAGATTAATACAGTAAAAATGTAATCTCAAAATAGAGTAGCCTTTTAAACTGAATAAATTAACCTTGCAAAAAATAACACACAAAAATACAATACTGTTTAACTGTTCTTGAATTTTCACTGGTCATGACAGTAGCTTGTCACTGCCAAGGCCACTCCTTAAGGCCTGCTCTTTGGCTAAAGGACTCGTTAGGTGAGAAGCAATAATCAAATGGCAGATAAAATAGCCGATACGCTGCCTTCTGGAATGACCCAAAAAAACAAAAGTGAAACATCAAAAATGACTTTCTCTCTGGCATTTATTTTAATGTAGGACAGACACTTAACTTCAAGTTGTATTTGAAGTTGGAACTTCTTTTTAAAAAGACCTGGCTTTTTACCTCCAAGAAAGCTACAGAGATGTTTTGGTAGTGTACATGTTTACGTGAGTATGGTAAATGGGTGGGAATGCCTGACTCTTTATATATGATCATTCATTTACTCTCAACAATAACCCTGTGAGCTAAGTATTTAAGAAGTGTCACTTTACAGATGACCAACAGAGGTTCAAACAGGTAGGAAGAGGCAGAACCAGAATCTGAACTCCAAAACCCAAGATCTTTCCACTACCCTATTCTCCTTCCAAACTACTTCAGTTCTGGTAGTAAGCGTACAGATAGCAGGTTTCACTTTCTCATCTATATACCGAAAAAGCTGGCTATCTAGATCCCTACCAGCCCTAAAATTCCGCACCAAGGGTTCTGAAACTTTCCTCATCTGGACAAGAAAAAAATAAAAAATAGAAGTAAACAACTGAACTCCACACTCCCTTCAACCCATCAGTTGCCCTTCCAGATAAACACTCTGGAGAAATTCCAGCACGTGTGTACACGTTTACAAGGACACAACCACAAGAATGTCCATGGACACATGTAACATTAAAGTTAGAAACAACCTTAAATATTCAGGAAAAGGACTAAATTAGGGTGTGTACCTGTAACAGAATCCAACGGAATAAATTAATATGAATCAGGGCTGAAAGCATTAACATGGACAAAACTCAGGTATATCCTGATGCTCTAAAGAAGATGCAGAATGACAAGCATGCTACTAGTTATACAAAGTTTAAAAACACGTAGGGCAATGCCAAAGTTACTGATGGGCATATACATAGACAGTAATAATACGAAAAGACATGCAGCAATAATAAACACTAAATTCAGGATTGTGGGGCCCAAGGTAGAGAGAGCTGAACAGGACCAAGAAAGGGGAGTCCTTCAGATGATGTGGAACGCTTGCCTTCTTTTAAAAAAAGTGAAATACATACGTACGTACACGCACACTCCACAGGATGCTCTGCTTTGGGAGTGATCGGTGGCGGCTATGCGAATGGCGCTTGTGCTACCTCCTGCCTGCTGAAATATTTCCCGACAAAACCTAAGAAGCGGCAACAGCACCTCGCCAGGCACGGAAACTGTGTGTGACTAATCAGTGCGAGCAGAAGGCAGCAGAGATGCGCTGGTGTTCCAGAGGAGGTGGGGGAGGGAGACGACGAAAAGGCCACAGCCTTCACTAACGAGAAGCCCACGGGCCGGGACAGGTCACCCCTTCAGACCGGCAGACAGTCGGCCGGGGAGGGAGGAGGAGAGGCAGGGGACGGTGTCTGCGCCAATGCAGACGGAGCAGAGCCGCTGGGGCGGGAGCCGGCCGGGCCGCCTCTCCCTCCACATCCCGTCCCGGGCGTCCCCGGAGGCGGGACGGCTCGGGGGCAGGTGGGCCCGGAGCCTCAGGTCGGTGCAGGCGTGGCCAGGTGAGTGGCCGGTGGGCGTCGGGGAGGTGCCCTTGCCGCTGGCCGCGAGCGCGGAAGACGCCGGGGCGAGCGGGGGACGGGGACGGAGTCGGGGCCCGGGCCGACGACCCCAGCCCACCCGTCAGCGCCCCCCGCCACTTACGCAGACATCTCTTTCATCGCTTCCTGCGTCTCCTCCTCCGGCGAGGGTCTCTCGCTCCGGAGTCCTGTCCTTGCTCCTTCCTTCTCCCCCGTCCGCTCTCCTCCGCTCGCTTGCAGATCGCTCGCTCCCTCCCTCCCTCGTTTCCTCACTTAACTACGGCCGAGGCATCCAACCGAGTAGTGAAAACACCACAAAACCGGCTCTATTTATGACAATACAGCGCAGCCGACGCCAATATGGCGCCGCTTCCCAGCCTGCCTCGCGCCCGCCGCGGCTCCGCCCCCGAGGCCCGCCGCGGCTCCGCCCCCGAGGCCCGCCGGCCCCGCCCCTCCTCCGGGGATCTCCAGAGGCCCGGCGGCCGCGCCCACCGAGGTGCGGGTTCTGGCTGCAAACTGCCAACCCGGGAGGGCTTGGTCCGCTCCTTTGTCAATGCGACTGTAAATCCAGGCTCACCGCTTGGAAGTAATTTGGTAATACGTTTTCCTTGTTCCCCTAATGAGAGCACATGTCATATATTTGAAAAAGTATCACAGCCTTTCCTAGCAAATGTGTGCTATTTTAACTCTTCCATTATCCCGCATCTCTGTTCAGTTAGTCACAGTCACAACGTCTCTGTGTAAAGCAATCAATCCACCCATTAAGGAGACTTTTTTCGAGAGAGGGTCATACCCAGGGACGTGTGACTTTTACACAATTATCCCAGGGAAAAGCAAGCTGGTAATTTGGAAGCTAACCATTCACTTCACCTTTAAGTAGCTTTCCCTGATTCATGGCGTTCTGGAGAGGTTCAAAGTGATCGCTGGCAGTTTGCAGTAGGAGCCCCTAGTGCACAAGGCTGAATCAAAATCTTCTCACACTTCCAGATCGTAGAGATCACAACCATGTGAGTGGGAGGATAAAACGGGAAAATGACGAATTTAGATAGTGTTAAAGGGTGGAAATTATTTGAAATAATTATTTACTGTAAGTCAAAAGATGTCAAGAAGCTGCTTCATTTTGGAATGTGACTCAGAGTCACAGTAAATAGAGAAAATTCCTTACCGAGTTATTCATTCAGTAATTCAAACATATTTATTGAAGACCTGATATGTGCCAGGCCTTGTTAGGCACCAGTGATTTAACGGTGCATAAAACCAGATGCATTCTTTGACCTTAGCAAGTGCTGAGTTTAGTGGGGAGACAATCAAATATAAGCGATATCCTTCACCTACCGTGTGTCAGGCAGTGTGCCAGGCACTGGAGATACTTAATTCCCACCCTCAAGAGATCACAATCCAGTGGAGAAGAGACATCCCATTGTTGCCATTGTTCGTTCTCATCCAGTAGATTCTGATTCATGGAGACCCCGTGTGTGCAGAGTAGAATGCTCCATAGGGTTTTTCAATGGCTGTGACCTTTTGGAAGCAGATCACCAGGCCTGTCTCCCCAGGCACCTGTGGGTGGGTTCCAACCACCCACCTGGAGAAGAGATATTACATAGACCATTAGGATACAGCATGGTCTGTATTTTCAATCGCCTCACATGCATGCGAAAGCTGGACAATGAATAGGGAAGACCGAAGAAGAACTGACGCCTTTGAATTATGGTGTTGGCGAAGAATATTGAATATACCCTGGACTGTCAGAAGAACAAACCTATGTGTCTTGGAAGAAGTACAGCCAGAATGCTCCTTAGAAGCAAGGATGGCGAGACTTCATCTCATGTACTTTGGACGTGTTATCAGGAGGGACCAGTCCCTGAAGAAGGACATCATGCTTGGTAGCAGAGGGTCAGCGAAGAAGAGGAAGACCCTCAATGAGATGGATTGACACAGTGGCTGCAACAAGGGGGTCAAGCATAACAATGATTGTGAGGATGGTGCAGGACCGGGCAGTGTTTCGTTCTGTTGTACATGGGGTCGCTGTGATTTGGAACCAACTCGACGACACCTAACAACAACACCACTGGTCTGTATGACACAGTACGGTCAGGGTATTATGGGAGATCAGAAGAGGGCTACCTAAATTTGGGAGGAAGGGCTCCGTTGTGACCTCCTAGAAGAGGGGGTGCTGCCTAAGTTAGCAAGACTTGAGTGCAAGCGGTGAGGAGCAGGCAAAGCCTACCCCAGGAGGCACAGGTAGTAGCCAGCGTGGGCTTCAGTGCAAAGTAGACCCAAACGTGAGTTCTAGTTATGCTGCTGATAGTTCCGTGTCCTCAGGATAATGAGCCTTAAAAAGCCTTCTTCATCCTCTGTAAAAGGAAGAGGACTGTAGGATTGCAGGAGAATTAAGTGAGAAGAGCATGAATAGCCAGTATGGCTCTCCGCCCCAAAATTCAGACACGCAGAAAAGATCACTTTGCCTCCTAAAACTTTATTTATTTTTCGACTCCAAGTCGCTCATTCTTCTGAGCTGGTCGACAAGACAATCTTGATTTTCCCGGGCACCTTCCTGCCTCAATTCTTGGGAAGGTGCCTAGGCATTGGGGACAGCAGGGGCAGAGTGTGTTTATCTGCTGCCTTCTAGCCATGCTTGGGGCTTAGGAATCTTTTGCCAGGGCCTGTGGTCTTCTCTGGGGCCCTGGTGGCGGTGATTAAAAGCTCAGCTGCTGGAGGACTCCAGCAAGATGGCGGTCTAGGCAGAAGCACCACGCCGTCCCTCCACAACAAAGATCCGAAAAACTAAGCCAAACAGAGAATCAACAATCCTGAAAC